ACATTTCATCTCCGACATTACAACGGCAGACCTGTTTACTCTTACATTTCATCTCCGACATTACAACGACAGACCTGTTTACTCTTACATTTCATCTCCGACATTACAACGACAGACCTGTTTACTCTTACATTTCATCCCCTACATTACAACGGCAGACCTGTTTACTGTTACATTTCATCTCCGACATTACAACGGCAGACCTGTTTATCTTACATTTCATCTCCGACATTACAACGACAGACCTGTTTACTCTTACATTTCATCTCCGACATTACAACGACAGACCTGTTTACTCTTACATTTCATCTCCGACATTACAACGACAGACCTGTTTACTCTTACATTTCATCTCCGACATTACAACGGCAGACCTGTTTACTCTTACATTTCATCTCCGACATTACAACGGCAGACCTGTTTACTCTTACATTTCATCTCCGACATTACAACGGCAGACCCGTTTACTCTTACATTTCATCTCCGACATTACAACGGCAGACCTGTTTACTCTTACATTTCATCTCCGACATTACAACGGCAGACCTGTTTACTCTTACATTTCATCTCCGACATTACAACGGCAGACCTGTTTACTCTTACATTTCATCTCCGACATTACAACTTTTTTTAATTAAAGTTTTTTTTTTAAAGTTTTTTTTTTTTTTTTTTAAAGGGTCTATGTCAGCGATAGTTTGATTCGTAGCGAGCCTGGTCTCGGATACGAATTGGGCTCCTTATCAGCTGAGTAAACTCTTCTTTGTTTAGGATCTTTGCTGAATTTCGGGGAGGTAAAGAATGAAATGGTTAATGGATAATGACGCTTGAAATAATACCGTTTTGATCTAGGTTTAGTTGGTGTTTGCTGTTTGTTTGTTGTTTGTTGTTTGTTGTTTGTTTGTTTTTTTTTTGGCCAGGCACCGGACACATTCTTTCCAAAGTGCGGATAATCAAGAGTCTGTGTTGTTATCTTTAAATAACAATGCAAATCTGCCAACAATTTTTAAAATGTAGATATATGTTTGAGATTAACTCCTAGCGCATGCGGGTCACACTTGATATTATAGGCATCGATTGATATTCTGATGTGATTAGTATACACAGGAAATGTACACAGTGACATCCTTGTGTAAACAAGTTTAGGACTAACAAAAATACTGCAATATATATTGGTGATAACTTAATATTATTTAATGTGCGTTAAGTTAGCTGAATCATCATTAATTAATCAAAGTGTTTCAAGTATTAATAATGTTGTATAAAGCAATTTTCATATATATATATATTTCTATTGCCAGAACTTAACCAAAATGGAGCGTGCAACATCTCCGAGTCTGTCCAAGACTGGCGCCAAAAGACCGAGCCGTTTTCTGCTGATGTGGTTTTTGTTTCGCGCCATGCACGTCACACACAGTGAGGAGGAGTCCAGCAATCCCGAAGATGATCAAGTTGGTGCCGCCAACAATGTGACGCCGTCAGAAGATGGCGATCCTTTGGCCAAAGTCAAACTGCCCAGAAAGCTGCCTTCTATTATTGAGATTAAAAAGGTTTTCAATTAATTTTTTTTTAAAGTTGTCCGATTTTCTTCACCAGGAAATAGAGATCACACATTTCATCTCCGACATTACAACGGCAGACCTGGTTACTCTTACATTTCATCTCCGACATTACAACGACAGACCTGTTTACTCTTACATTTCATCTCCGACATTACAACGACAGACCTGTTTACTCTTACATTTCATCTCCGACATTACAACGGCAGACCTGTTTACTCTTACATTTCATCTCCGACATTACAACGACAGACCTGTTTACTCTTACATTTCATCTCCGACATTACAACGGCAGACCTGTTTACTCTTACATTTCATCTCCGACATTACAACGACAGACCTGTTTACTCTTACATTTCATCTCCGACATTACAACGACAGACCTGTTTACTCTTACATTTCATCTCCGACATTACAACGGCAGACCTGTTTACTCTTACATTTCATCTCCGACATTACAACGACAGACCTGTTTACTCTTACATTTCATCTCCGACATTACAACGACAGACCTGTTTACTCTTACATTTCATCTCCGACATTACAACGACAGACCTGTTTACTCTTACATTTCATCTCCGACATTACAACGACAGACCTGTTTACTCTTACATTTCATCTCCGACATTACAACGACAGACCTGTTTACTCTTACATTTCATCTCCGACATTACAACGACAGACCTGTTTACTCTTACATTTCATCTCCGACATTACAACGACAGACCTGTTTACTCTTACATTTCATCTCCGACATTACAACGACAGACCTGTTTACTCTTACATTTCATCTCCGACATTACAACGACAGACCTGTTTACTCTTACATTTCATCTCCGACATTACAACGACAGACCTGTTTACTCTTACATTTCATCTCCGACATTACAACGGCAGACCTGTTTACTCTTACATTTCATCTCCGACATTACAACGGTAGACCTGTTTACTCTTACATTTCATCTCCGACATTACAACGACAGACCTGTTTACTCTTACCTTTTCGTCGTAGTAACTCCGTTTTTAAGCCTAAGACTACGGGACTGCGACGAGCAAAAAAAAAAAAAAACTACGGTTTTGGGGAATTTTTCTTTTTTTTTTGGTTTGTCTCGATTTTAACTTTTTAATAAAATAATTGGTATATATTTTCGGTAAAAAGTACCGCATTTTTTGTGTTAACACGGTAAGCACTGGAAAAAGAATAACTGTGATCAGTGTTTCTTTCAGACATTCCCCCCCTCAGGGGGGGGGGGGCATTTCAAATTTTCGGGGGGAGGGGCTTTGCCATTTGCCAGTGACCAGAGGCGTCGCTAAGGTGTGGAAGATGGGGCATGTCTCACGGGGGCACCAGACTAGCCGGGCAGGGCGAAAATGGGCTTTGATGGTATTTAATGGTTGAAAATAATCAGTTTCAGAGTTTAGAGGTGGGGCGTGATAATGAATCTTGTCCTTTGACGCCAAACACTGTATCGTGAAAGGAGGACGGCAAAAATATATTTGCCCGCCCATGGCGGCACTAACAGTAGCTGCACCACTAGGCAGTATATCTATCGATACCGAAATCGGGGAGAATTTTCATCGGGAATTGGGGCGTAAATTGAGAGCGCCGATGAATCTTGATCGGCGGAGGGGTCTATGGAGCCTGCCAGAAAATTGTTGATCCTGTCAAAGTCAAGGGGGGGGTGTTTTTTGAGTATATTGGAATTCAACGTTTTTATTTGACTTTTTAACGGGGGAGGATATTTTTAAGGTTTTGTGGGAGCGTTTAGCGCCCAGTGCCGGCGTGATGGCGCCCAGTGCCGGTGTGATGGCGCCCATTGCCAGCGTGATGGCGCCCAGTGCCGGCGTGATGGCACCCAGTGCCAGCGTGATGGCGCCCAGTGCCGGCGTGATGGCACCCAGTGCCGGCGTGATGGCGCCCAGTGCCGGCGTGATGGCACCCAGTGCCGGTGTGATGGCGCCCATTGCCAGCGTGATGGCGCCCAGTGCCGGCGTGATGGCACCCAGTGCCAGCGTGATGGCGCCCAGTGCCGGCGTGATGGCGCCCAGTGCCAGCGTGATGGCGCCCAGTGCCGGCGTGATGGCACCCAGTGCCAGCGTGATGGCGCCCAGTGCCGGCGTGATGGCACCCAGTGCCAGCGTGATGGCGCCCAGTGCCGGCGTGATGGCACCCAGTGCCAGCGTGATGGCGCCCAGTGCCGGCGTGATGGCACCCAGTGCCAGCGTGATGGCGCCCAGTGCCAGCGTGATGGCACCCAGTGCCAGCGTGATGGCGCCCATTGCCGGCGTGATGGCGCCCAGTGCCGGCGTGATGGCGCCCAGTGCCGGCGTGATGGCGCTCATTGGCGGCGTGATGGCGCCCATTGGCGGCGTGATGGCGCCCATGGCCATACATCAACTAAATTCACTCAGTTATTAGCGTGTCCCAGAGTAATCATTTGGCACAAGCTTATAATCAACCCAATACTGTACCATTGATCAGCGTGAGTGAAGGGGTGCAGAAATTTAGGGCGCTTACTACAATCGGGCAAACTCAAAATGCAGAGGTGCATTGTGGTGCATACTTGAATTTTGTTTGTCTTTCAGACAATTATTAGATTGCATTTCAAACTTTCGGATGGGGTGTGCCAAAATTAGCCATAATAATGATCAAAGACATCTTCAATTCGGCTCCAGTGAGACGTAAACTAAATTCCTTCTACTTGAGTCAAACTTGAACTACACACTCAGACACATAAACGTATAACTAAAATGTGGCAAGAAGAGAAAATTCCAACAGAATGGGAAACAGCATTAATAACCCCGATACACAAGAAAGGCTCCAAACTTCGGTGCACAAACTACAGGGGAATCTCCCTATTAAATGTTTCATACAAAATACCGACGTAGGTAATTGCAAAAAGACTGAAACCGTACACTGAAGAAATACTAGGTGATTACCAATGGGGACTCATGCAAAACAAATCAACGGCTGCCTAATTAGATGCCTAATGGAGTAATGTTTTTCAAATAAATTACAAATTGCCTCTTAGATATACATTAATATACTTTTTTTTTACCAAATCCGCAGAATTTATATGACTTTGTCCAAATTAGGTAGAATAAGTTATTATCTACTGAGCATATGTGTTCATAGTTGGCATATTTTTTAAAAACTTGCTAGGAATCTTTCTGCCAACCATTTTCAAAACCATTGTCCCAATTCACGACAATTCACGGATCAAAAATGAATACTTTTTTAATCTATTGAGAGACCAATTTCCAACTGAACCAACCCAGAATGTCTTCCTTTTGACTACTGGGAACACGTGGCAGGTGGAGGTAGGCACCGTTGTCAATCGCAGGTATGGGTTCAGTATGCTGCTGGTTTCGGCGCACGCTGTACGCGTTGACATGCATTTTGTGTCCTTGTGTTTGCAGGCGATTCCAGCCCACTGCTTCGAGTCAAACACTTTACGCTCTATATATTCATTGGTGAAAGACTTTGTTATTGTGGGACTCTTGTGTTTGCTGGTTGAAGGGACTTGGATGGTGTTTCCTCCTCTTGCACAGGTAAAACAAAACTGTAGATGGTGTTTTAAAACCCAATAAATTTAATTTATACATGGTCACCTCTATAATAAACACACACACACACACATACACACACATACATTTATAAACAAAACTCTCAAAACATTTAACATGAAATTTCACACTGATAAATACTTTTTCATTTGAAATAAAGTGTTTCAGTCTTTCTCATGGGAAAATCAACATTTTACTTTCAGTTGTTTGAAATTTTAAGGAAAAAGTGGAGCAATACTTATTAAGACTTTGACATTTTAAAGAAACAAATCTTTTACTGATGTCCTGTTCATCTCATAGAAGTCTTTTACTGATGTCCTGTTTATCTCTCCACAGTTCGTGATCACACCCATGTACTGGTTCGTCCAGGGAACACTGTTCGTCGCCATATTCATCATCGGCCATGACACCGGCCACTCCTCGTTCTCCAAGCATGAGATCGTCAACACGATCTTCGGCAACATCTGCCACACGTTTCTCTTCTGCCCGTACTACATGTGGAAGGTGAGATCAGGTCCTTAATTTAAAACAGTGTTTAAAACTATTCTGTTATTGTTTAATGGCCTAGAATCACTTTCTTGTTAACGTCCATGTTAATTTCTTTGTTAACTTCCTTGTTAACTTCCTTGTTAACTTCCTTGTTAACTTGCTCATTAACGTCCTTGTTGTCGCCTGACTTTGACGCCAACTTTCTACGAGTCTCGTTATGCTCCTTCATTTCGTTTGATCGCTCCCGTTCCCTCATGCTTCTGTTCGCGCGAGTCAGGCTTTCTGTCGCTTCGTTCGTTAAACTGGGGTGTTGCGAGGGTTAGTCCCGCCCGTTGTGGGCAGAGAATTTTGCTGACCAACTTAACAAATTTGTTTGAACTCTGTAGATGTCAGAAAATGATGCCCCTCCATGTAAGGAAGAAAAAAGTGCCGACCGGGGGTGGACTTCACACTTTGCATCCCTTCCGACGCCCCTGTCGCTAAGTAGTTTTTTTTAAGCCCTTTCTCTGCGTAGTGTGGTACGCATTTTTCTTTGTACAACTTGAACGAATTCTCACGTGTTTACTGGCCCTGTTTCATGTTAAAAATTGCGTCACTTTTTATATTTGAAGTCTAAAAGCTTAAAGGTCAAAAATTAGAAGCGCAGTACCCAAGGCTCATTGAATACAATGAATACAATTGAAAACAATACGAAAAATAATTTTTAAAAGCCTTCTTTTTCAAAAAAAAAAAAAAAATGAACGAAAAGTGTAAAATAAACTTGTTGCTCCTGCCAGAAGACCAGAGAAGCGTGTGCCGCCATTAAGCTAAAAGGACAAAAATTAGAAGCGCAGTACCCAAGGCTCATTGAAAACAATGAATACAATTAAAAACAAAACGAAAAATAATTTTTAAAAGCCTTCTTTTTCAAAAAAAAAAAAAAAAATGAACGAAAAGTGTAAAATAAACTTGTTGCTCCTGCCAGAAGACCAGAGAAGCGTGTGCCGCCATAAAATACGATGGTGTTGTGCCACTCGACAAATACATCGTTGGACACAGGTATTCATATGGACTGTTGCAAGTAAGGGGCGTGAAATCGCGTCCATGTCTCTACGATTTGCAAAGACCATTGAGCTGATGATGTGAGGGGATGACCTGAGCTCAGATCCCTAGTTCTCCAACAGATACAGCGCGTGCTCGACTGCTCACTTTCATGATACGAAATAACTCCGCAACCTTTCGCAATATTTTACACAGTTTTCGATGTGCGCAAGCAATTACCACTGCACCACACCTCCGACTTCTCGGTGTCGTACCTGTTTTATACGGCCCACCTTATACGTGATAGATTGAATTGAGTGACGTGGACCGAGGTTTCCTGCGTTTATTATTCACCAATGATCCTTGGCATTTTCAGTGCAAACCATAATGACAAAATAAAAGACCAGGGTGGGGAGGGTTCAGATAACGAATGTTTCGGATAATCTGCTTCTGAAAATCGACGCACGACTGTATGTGTCATTAATTGTATAACATCATTTAAATCCCTCCAAAAATTAAATTAATTTTTTTTTTAAATGATCTATATATCAATGTGGTCACGTCGGTCAAGTGGCGCCGGAGAAGTGGCGTCGGACAAGGTGCGTCGGAGAAGGGGCATCGGAGAAGTGGAGCCCAAGAAGTGGCGTCGGTGTAGTGGCGTCAGAGAAGTGGCGTCATAGAAGGGACATTTTTGAAGTAGCGCCGGCGAAGTGGCGTCGGAGAAGGGTTTCTGGAGAAGTTGCGTCAGAGAAGTGGTGTCTGAGAAGTGGCCCCCTGCGAAGTGGCGTCTAGGAAATGGCGCAAGAGGAGTGCCGCCGGAAAAGGGGCGCGGAGAAGGGGCGTCGGAGACGTTGCGTCGGTGAAGTTGCATAGAAGAAGGGTCACTGGTGAAGTGGCGTCGGTGAAGTGGCACTGTTACTGCATTAAAAAAAAAGTATTTTCAGTTTAAGATATCTGCTTTGTATAACTGACGGAGAATTTCAGGACAGGCCATTCGGGAGATTTCACTTTTAAAGCAATAATTTTAATACACAGACGTTGCATTGGAGATGGCGTCGGTGGGTCGTCAAGCGCGAGCTCTTAATTCCCCTTCCCATCGAACACCCCCACACGGGCCAACGCCGGGTCTCCCCGCCGCCAGACCGTGCGGAAGCACGACGGAGACCTCCCCTCTGGCCTGGGGGGCGTCCGGTCGACTGAAAACGCTGCGCTTAAAGCGTTCGCGCTCCACTCTCCTTGTGTCTGAACGGCTTTGCTTCCTTGACAGACTGTGAAGTCGTAGTTATAAATTATAATCGTCCTGCTCTTAAGTTATGTTTCTCCTAGTTTTAAATGTCTTTGTTGTTTATTCGACACGGTGAACAATATTATGCTCAATATAATCACATCTCATTTTCCAACAACTTGATTCAATCAAAGAATCTTATCGTATCCGCCGTATTATGTTTTAAAATGTTTTAACTTGTTTGCTTTAGATATCCCACAGGAAGCACCATATGCATACTTGCAACATGGACAGGGATCGAGTTTTCTACCCAGTCCGAAAGAAGGATCGTGTTGACGGACTCCCTTTGATCAAGGGCTTCGCTCTTGGATTCGGCTGGTTCGCCTATCTCATTCAAGGCTATAAACCAAGGGGCGTAAGTGTGTGCCATACTTAGAGAACCTCGCACTGGAACTGGCCATCAAACTTACCTTCTACGTGTTGGTTCTGCTAATGAGGCTTTAAGCTTGAATTTTTTTAAAAAAAATAATAATAATTTTTACATTTGCTCAGTCTAATGGGGCCCTAACCAGCTCTACGGGACAAATCTATCATTTCAGATATTAATCTGACATCAATTTATCGGGGCCCTTACAAGTTGTAACGGAAGCCCCCTGTCCCAGCAGACCTGTAACTGAAAACAATTTACATAATCTAAGGGACGCTCTCTAGTAGTAGACTAATAAAAGTGTTGGATTGCGAAAAAACTTTGAAGTACATTAATGATATACAAACAACTTTTGGTGCATACAAAAAATTGTAGGTTAAGCGTTAATTATACTTTAAAAAATATATATTCAACCTTCTTGGCAAATTTAACAGTAAAGCCAAAAAAAATCATTTACATAATTATCAATTAAATTTACTTTAAAAATTTATTAATATCCCACCTTTACCTAAATATGAATGGGCACAGGTCCGTATCAAACATTTAAAAACAAAAGAGGAAATGTCGGTGCTGCAGTGTAAAATTGTGAAATTTGGTTCCTATCGCATCGCGTGAACGTGTCACATCTATTTAGTCAATTAATTTCCCTATCATTTGTATCCGGTGTATTGCTCCTATAAATTATGCCAATAACTCCAATGTCCAATATTCCGTTATGGTTAGCGCTATTGAAATGTTTAGAAACGGGACAAATGGCTTGTTTATTGATGTTGTAGAGGTGTTCCATAAAACGATCTAAAGGGCGACGTTCTGTCTTCCCTATGCATGATCTTCCGCACTTGTTACAAAGGATGGTGTAAATCACGTTGCGAGTTGTGCAAGTAAAAACATCTTTGATTTTTGAATATTTCCAGAGGGAAGTTAATTTTATCGGGGCCTTACAAGTTGTAACGGAAGCCCCCTGTATCAGCGTACCTGTAACTGACAACAATTTACATAATCTAAGGGACGCATCTCTAGTAGTTACGTAGGGACATGTGTTACACTGGCTACGTTTTCAACTTTTGGTGCACATATATTTCCTTAGGTAGCTCCGATATAGAGGTCACATCCGCTGCTAGGAATCTTGGTTACCGTCTTTCTGATAACACATCTCTTAAGAATCATATTTCTCACATATGTCGCTCTGAATACGCCGCTATCCGTCAAATTAGCTTCATCCACCACCAACTCACAGTCAGCGCAACAAAAACATTAGTCTGTACTCTTGTTGTCTCTAGTCTTGACTATTGTAACTCTCTTCTGTCAGGTTCACCAAAACATTTCATAGAAAAACTGCAGAAAGTTCAAAAATCAGATGCTAAGTTAGTTCTAAAGGGAAAAAACGTGATCACTTCACTCCACTAATGCACTTACTTCATTGGCTCCCTATACAGGCACGCATTGATTACAAGCTGTCTGTTCTCTGTCACAAAATTTTCTCTAGTTCCTGCCTTTCTTATCTTACTAAACTTCTTACTGTCTATTCGCCCCTTCGAAACCTTTGTTCCTTCGCAGACACGCGTATTCTTTCTGTTCCAAGAACACACACTAAAACATATGGTGAACGATCTTCCTCTTTCTGCGCCCCCAAACAATGGAATTCTCTCCCACTACACATGCGCAATATACCTACCATACAGGCCTTCAAAACTGCACTCAAAACACATCTCTTTAAATTCTACTATCCCGACTGCTTCCCCCCCCCCCCCCCCATGGCCAATAAACGATGCTGCTTGTTGCTGTCCATGGCTTGACAGGTAACGTTCTTGGGGTGGGTGGGGTGGGGTGAAGTTGTACATTTGTTTTTGTCTTGTTGTTATACGGCTGTTTTTAAGTGTAATGTTATGATTATGTTTGCGGTGGTGCGCTGTATAAGACCACTAATAATAATAATAGTAATAATGATAATATGTGCTTAAATAGCAGGCTGTTAGCTTCCCTAAGGCTCTTGTCCCCCGGAAAGCGAAAAGAGAAGGTTTATTTGAAAATATGGTTGGTGACAGTCTGTCGGAAGATTGGACAAGTTTTTGAGAGCTAGATAATGAGCCATAAGGTTATGTGGATAAAAAGTTACAATAACTTCACAACTACCCCTGCTGCCAGAAGGAGTTACTTTGGACGAATTATGTCTGGTCATACCTTTAACTCTAGTGACAGCTGCTTCTGGTAGAACACCTTCAACTATTGAAAGCTTATAAGAAAATGGGTGGGGGGGGTGGGGGTTGTTGTGGTTTACGAAATCTTAAGGGAGTCCCATGTTATTGAAGATCTTGCCCTAACGTCAGGTATCGGAGAACCTGCCAAGTTTATGATTGAGAAAAACTTACTGTTCAATATTATGCTGCACAAAAGATTTAGCTCCATTTATGTTCACTTAAAATAACACAGCATTTACCTGTTTCTACACCACCTCGACCCCCAGATCCAGCATTTCAATCCACTGGATCCGCTGTTCCGCCATCACGTCGCCAACTGCATCATCTCGCTCGTCTGCCTTTTCCTTTGGTCCATGTGCCTGGCTCGGCTCCAAGAGGCGTTCGGTCTGGGCGCTCTCGTCTACCACTGGGGGGTTCCGACATTCGTCTTCGCCAGCTACATGGTCATCATCACGTTCTTGCAGCACACCGAGGAGAACACCCCCTGGTACAGCGATGACGTGTGGGAGAATCTCCGTGGACAGCTGTCTACCGTAGATCGTCACTACGGATGGTGTCACGAAATAATTCACAGGTAAAAATGCTGCTGCACTCTTCCAATGCTTTATTTCCGTATATACTCGTTTAAAAGACCGTTTATTTCAAAGCCGACCTCTTTAGTTTTTGTCTGGAAACCTCTGATATTGTGTGTAACGCGCTCACAAACCGAAACTATAAAACACCATCCCAGTGGAAAAGACGCGCACAACATACGGCTCTCGGGCCGCCAGCACGCACTTTGTGGCTAACGGAGTAACGAAATATTCTTATTTGTAAATAGCTTTCCCCCTGTCTATTTTCTTTCGGACCGCACACGGTTTTATTAAAGTCTTACGGCCACCCTAAAGTTTGTGCTGTGCAGGCCTGCAGTGGCAGATGAGGAGTACTCAAGAAAATATTTGTATTTTTTGTATCCAACCTTCTTAAATCGATTATTGAGTAAAGAAAAGGGACTTAAACACAGACATACAATTCTATGTGTATAAAACGAACAAATTTACATTACGTTGTGTATAAGACAAAATAGATATTCAAAATTATGTTTATAACAATGACAGACATAGAATAATATGTGTATAACAGAAATTGACTTAGAATACTTTGTCTTAGCACAAATATACCTACAATATTATGTTTATAACACTAATCGACATAGGCGAGTCCTCACTACCTGGACCGCTGCTCGGGTCCGATCGAACTCCATCAGACGGGACCGCTGCCGCGGCTTAGGCTACGGGAGTATTTCCGGATTGAAAAAATCAGAGATGGCTTTCCAAGGTGGGATGAAAGCCAAGTTTTACCAACAAATCTGGCATGCCGTACTTCACCTTAGAAAACGAACAATTATTTATGCTGCATGTGACAGAGATTTGTCTGTGCAGATAATTTATTATCCTCCAAACTAAAACTATGCTATTTTAAGCTTAAACACGTGTATTTCTTTAATTTAAACATTCATAAGAACATGTAAAATAAAATTGTCTCCTACTCCCCACCCCTCCTTGGCAGCATCGGCACCCATCAGATCCACCACCTGTTCCCTAAAGTTCCCTATTATCATCTGGAAGAGGCGACCGTAGCATTTCGCAAGGCTTTCCCGGAGCTGGTCAACGTATCTGTGGAGCCCATCATCCCGGCATTCCTGAGGATGTTCCAGAAGTACGCCACTCAGAATGTGGTTGAGAACAACACACAAGTCCACATCTACAAGTGATACACCTGTCCACATCTATAAGTGATACACCTGTCCACATCTACAAGTCATACACCTGTCCACATCTACAAGTGATGCACCTGTCCACATCTACAAGTGATGCAACTGTCCACCTCTAAAAGTGATACATCAGTCCACATCTACAAGTGAGACACCTGTCCACATCTACAAGTGATACAGCTGTCCACATCTACAAAACATGCAGCTGTCGAAAAAATGTTATAGATCTTATACAAGTATTTTTGGCATGATCCTTGCTACAAGTAATAAAGTTATCGAAATAATGTTATAAATCTCAAAGAAGTGTTGGCCAAATATGTTGATGTATGTTTTTATTTAGTAGAATCCTTTCTTTTGTGTCCTAAAATTTTATCAACACGTCAATGGGAAAAAAATATTGCTATTTATTGGCAAAATCATATACACTCTCTGTCACAATACACTCTGTCACATTACACTCCCCGTCACAATACACTCTCCGTCACAATACACTCTCCGTCACAATACACTCTCCGTCACAATACACTCTCCGTCACAATACACTCTCCATTACAATACACTATTCGTCACAAAACATTCTCCATCACAATGCACACTCCATCACAATACACTCTCTGTCACAATACACTCTCCATCATAATACACTCTCCGTCACAATACACACTCCGTCACAATACACACTCCGTCACAATACACTATTTGTTACATTACACTCTCCGTTACATTACACTCTCCGTTACATTACACTCTCCGTTACATTACACTCTCCGTTACATTACACTCTCCGTTACATTACACTCTCCGTTACATTACACTCTCCGTTACATTAAACTCTCCGTTACTTCACACTCTCCCTCATATGACATTGTCCATCCCATTTAAATTCCTTGTATCACATACTGATCAAGGTAAATGGTTAGTTACCTGTAAAGGTAGAAGGTAGGATTCGGCTCCTGATAAAATGCATTCGCCCTAATTTAAACCAGATGTAAATCTATTCAAATGAACTTGAGAATTTGTGGGACATAAAGAAGCGATTTAAATTTTTTTTCAAATGTGTTGAACCTTAAGCTAAGTCAATTTTTTTTTTTTAAAATGTAAAAGATAAATACAGAAACGAATCAATTTAAGTCTTAGAATGCCAACCCATTTTTTTATCATTTAGTATTTTAGCATGGTAATTCCGGGGGTGGGGGGGGGAGACTGCAATCTGGATAGGTAAAAGGAAATGAGCGAAGTAAAGTATATGGAGATCTGAAAAGGGACGCAACAAGACAGCGAACGTGTCGGCAAGAAGCCTTCTTCGGTGAAAAAAGAACAGCAAAAACAAAATAAGATTAAAATAACACTTAGCTGCAATAGCAGCAGTGGAGACAGCAAGAGGAATGAGGACAACAAGAGGAATGAGGACAACAAGAGGAATGAGGACACCAAGAGGAATGAGAACATCAAGAGGAATGAGGACAACAAGAGGAATGAGGACAACAAGAGGAATGAGGACACCAAGAGGAATGAGAACATCAAGAGGAATGAGGACAACAAGAGGAATGAGGACAGCAAGAGGAATGAGAACATCAAGAGGAATGAGGACAACAAGAGGGATACATGAGTACTGTAAATTGACACTAAGATGCAATTACTATGAACTAAACATTTGAAACCGATCACTTAGAAAGAAACTTGGTCCAGAGCAGCTTTAAAACTTCAATGAAATTGATTCTAATAAAACAGTTGACAACAGTCGATGACTTGTTTATTAAATTATATGAAGTGACGATAAAAAATGTTTTCTTAATTTGTTTCCTTCGCCTATTACTTTCAACCGTTACTTTCAACCATTACTTTCAACCATTACTTTCAACCATTACTTTCAACCATTACTTTCAACCATTACTTTCAACCATTACTTTCAACCGTTACTTTCAACCGTTACTTTCAAGTATTACTTTCAACCGTTACTTTCAACCGTTACTTTCAACCGTTACTTTCAAGTATTACTTAAAATTGTTCTTGAAGTTGTAGTTTTTTTTTAAATTTATCTCAAGAAAATGTGTACATTTTATTCCCTCCAATCTTGATCAGCCTGATACTTTTTTTTTTAAAGCATGAAATACTAGACGTCATGACCCGATATTACCTCGATTAAAATTGAAAGAAATATTACCCTTCTTTCCTCCTGCTATAGCGAAGTCTCAACATCTAAAAATCCAATCTTTATGTACGTAGCTTACTTGGGTTTTGATGGACAGCATCCTCAACCCACCCCCCACCCACACGCACATTTTTTCCAAGCCATTAAATTGCCTTTTAGTAAATCGTTTTTCATACTTATATTTAAAGAAGTATCCATGGATACGGTTTAGCGTTTCTAACATCATTGCATTTTGAGTAATGATAATCTTTACATTATATAACCCTAAACAACCCTTTTACACGCCACAGAGCTGCTGAGAAAACATATTTAATAAAAATGTAAAAACATGTCCCCCCACAAATAAAATGAAAAAAATTATATACCATTTTAAAATCATATATGTAACTTTACGGTTGTGGATATTTTGGTATCTTCATCAAAAAACAAATTCGAAGTAGGCACGTTTCTGTTGTGTATACTTTTCAAAAGCCGGCCATTGGTCATGGGGATCGATATAACCGAGGTTAAGTGGCAAATTTAGCTGCCTATTGTGCTCGAGATATCAGGGTTCAGCGACATAAAAGAATGGACATGGCCGATGAGAAAATGCATAACCACATATTTAATTAATTAAATATATCGATAGTTCTATTTCCACAGAGTAATCAATGAATGTTGTTCAGTGCTGTGATGGCGAAGCATCCCTCAGTTAGTGAGCCCCGTGATTCGTGAGTTGAGAGGTGAGAGGCCATGTTCTTTTACCCGTGTAGCCGGTCGCTAAAGATCTAGACATCAACATCAACGGAGGTGTTGGTTTTACTTGTATTGGACATAGCATTACTAAATAAACACGCGGTATTTGGCGTTATTAAATCAGTTCTGTAGTTTTGTGTGTCGTTGTTGTTGGTGTTGTTATTGTGGTTGTTGTTGTTGTTGTAATTTAGAGTACAAAATAAACTTAAATATATATAATATATATATACCGGTGTATAATTTAAAGTATATATTAAAGCAATTAAGACATTTGTTCTGTCAGTCAGTTAATTGGTAAGTGAGACAGTTAACACTGAAAATCACCGAGATTGGTGCTATGCTGAAGGTTGAGACGTAGTGCTATGCTGAAGATTGAGACGTGGTGCTATGCTGAAGGTTGAGACAGGGTGCTATGCTGAAGGTTGAGACGTGGTGCTATGCTGAAGGTTGAGACGGGTGCTATGCTGAAGGTTGACACGTGGTGCTATGCTGAAGGTTGAGACGTGGTGCTATGCTGAAGCTTGAGACGGGGTGCTATGCTGAAGGTTGAGACGGGGTGCTATGCTGAAGGTTGAGACGAGGTGCTATGCTGAAGCTTGAGACAGGGTGCTATGCTGAAGCTTGGGACGGGGTGCTATGCTGAAGGTTGAGACGGGGCGCTATGCTGAAGCTTGAGACGTGGTGCTATGCTGAAGGTTGAGACGGGTGCTATGCTGAAGCTTGAGACATGTTCCTATGCTGAAGCTTGAGACGGGGTGCTATGCTGAAGGTTGAGACGGGTGGTATGCTGAATGTTGAGACGGGTGCTATGCTGAATGTTGAGACGGGTGCTATGCTGAAGGTTGAGATGGGGTGCTATGCTGTAGCTTGAGACGTGGAGCTATGCTGAAGCTACTCGGTGATATTTAAACCACCACACTCGATATTTACCTTGTACAGCATCGATGTCGACCCGATGGGGGGCGTTTCTTTCTTGTCCTAATTCAAAACATATCATCTTACTGACTTGTTAATTTTATGCAGCTGTAATCTGACAGTCGCTTTGAGTATTGGTGTGATAAGCTATGTCAAGTGTCTATGTAGTCTTGCAACTCACACATCCAAAATCTTTATTAATGGCGAGCAGGGGGTGGGGTGTGAAGTTTTAAATATTTTTGATGAAATGATATAAAATGATGCATATTTTTAATGTGCCAAACATCTGTCCCCCACAACCAAATGATATAATCTATCTTATGACAGCATCCATAAAGTAGTTACACCATCAGCAACAACAGCTGGCTCGTCCACCATTGATGGATCAGCTGAAAATTCGAGCACAACTCTTATGGTATTCTTGGACATTTTCCAAAATCTGCTGTTTATTTTTTTTTATAACTTACCTAAGTTTTTCCTAATGACCAATGCCAGGTTGGGTTCAGGTTAGTATCCTAGTATCTGGGTCACTGGCCCCTTGCGCTCTAAGTCCCTAACCATACAGCCACACCGAGTAGACATGTTTCCACCCTGAGCAAGCGGGAGCGTCTCTAAGGAAACTTGGGGGCGTCCACATGTGGTTTGCCTCTTCGTGACGTGGCGGATTAGTGTGGTGGACTTGTCCACCCGAAGCCAAACACCACGACCGACCGCATGACTCCCAACGCAATGGAAGTAGTAAGACAATATCATGATTACATGTTGCCGTTAATGGATATGAGGCTTGGGTGGCGGTAAAACCCATTACGATGATTTCGGCTATGCGGATGTGAGAGAGCGGCTCCAAGGCAACCGTTTCGTCCCAGTTTTTCGTCCCAACCTAAAGACTCCTTTGGGCGTTTGAGGGTTGCAACGCCACTACATTTCTCCCCGGAGCGAAAGCAAACACGCCAAAACCTTCTGGGAGAGTCGGCTGTGAACGTTTTAAACGACGCTTTTTCGGTCGCTCGGGCGTCAGCCAGGCCATGGGGGAGGTTCCCGGCGTGCCATCGTGCGGTCTGGTGGTGGGGTAACCCGGCGTCTGGCTCATGTGGTGGTGTGCTGGGGGGGGGGCATTAAGAGCTCGCACTCGACGGCCCACCGAAACCATTTCCTAATGAGCCGTATTTAGTAAACATGTTCATGAGTTTAAAAAATC